TAAAAATCGTACTCAAACTCATTCTGGTACTGTAAAGCACTCTTACTTATGGCATACCATTCACACCGTTTTCAAAGTGCAGGTACTCGTACCTGCCACAAAGCTCCCATACTTGTCTCATAGCTGTCTTATACTTATGGCCAAGAACCTACATACGTACTCATGACAGAGCACCTTTCATTTAAGTCAGAGTTTTTGTACTCATGGTGGTTAACTCACCGGTGTAGAATAATGAATAAGATGTTGTCATTCCCAGGCTACAACTTTGGCATCCGTCAGTCCGGGGCCCACGTCGATGATGTAATTCTACCACCTTGGGCCAATGGCAGTGCACGACTCTTTGTCTTGATCCACCGTCAGGCCCTGGAGTCGGTCTACGCCTCCAAGTTCCTGCATGCCTGGGTGGACCTGGTATTTGGGGTCAAACAGCAGGGGTCGCTGGCCGTGGATTCCATCAACGTCTTCCACCCTGCAGTGAGTTCTAAATATTGGTCTGGGCCCAATCGATAAATTAACATGTGCAAAGAGGATGCAGATGAGGCTGAACCTAGACCTTTGAGAAGCATGACGTAGTTGGAAAGGGCCTGAGAGCCATATAGAAGAAGTGATGGTGTTTTGAGGTTGGCTTTTACGCGTCAAAGTTCAAAATGAATTGATATAGGGTTTGGTTGACTGAAATTTTACGTCCATTTTTAAAGTGATCTCAGAAATTTCTGCTGGAGGTTGATGGGTAAACTGTTGACAGCTTACTCATAACTTGCAGTCTGGCAATGTTCAAAATGGTTGTGCATTGTGCAGTCATAAGTCAGAAATTTTCACGGAAATAAAACAAAAATTGTCTTAATAAGGAAGGAAGACCTTTAATCAAGTTGGTCTTTTGATGGGGGGTTCACTTTAGAGATTTTTTTCTAAAAATGCTGACGGACTTTAGAATTTGTTTTAGTAGTAAATCAATATATTGCCTGAAACCTGTATACCCCAACACAAAAAGCTAAAAGGCTGCCTTTCACCTGTGTTTACTGAAGAATCTTTTTGGAGAAAACTGTAAGGATATATTAGTCCAACATCTATATTAAATTGAGATGGGATCATAGTTCCCACAGTGGTTTTGAATGTGGTGAATATGGGACCAACTTTATATTGAATTTCTATCAATCTCCAGACGTACTTTGGCATCGACACCACTGCCATCAAGGATCCTGTCAAGCAGCGAGCCGTGGAGACGATGATCAAGACCTACGGCCAGACCCCCAAGCAGCTCTTTGTCAACTACCACCCCTCCCGCGTGGAGCACGACAGCTTTGTCCCCGACAACTTTGCCATCGGCTCTGTGGGCATTCTGGCTGGCCTGAGCCAACGGCCGCCCACCAAGGCCAACACGGGCCCCGAGGCCAGCAACATACTGGTAGGACGGGACTGGATGTAATTGGCAAAAATTTCAACCATGTCAAATCCAACGCCATTTGTGAAATAGTCCGATGAAATAGTTGGGAAGTTGCCAGAGCCACTTTTGAGATAAATACCCTGTGAGAGCCATGCAAAGTTTGCATCAATTCGAACCCCTCCACGTTTTACTTTTTCACCCACATAATGTCAATTTTCATTAAGCTGCCTGACTGGGTGATACTTGCAAACAAGGAGCCCAGTTGCGTTCCTGCTTTCTAATGCAAACTATAAAAATATTTAATGAAAAAAATGGCTGTAAGATTCGTGTTTTGGCATGTGGTCAGATTTTATGTGATTAATAAAAGTATTGGAGGCTCACTTCTCTCTGGTATTTAGAAAATTATGGATTTTCTCTTATGGCATGCTTTAACTTCAGCTGCAACTTAGACAATACTGAACCATCCTTGACCCATTTTATGCACAGGAGTGACTTGCTGGAAAGACGTCCATTTTGGCATCTGGTCATAGGTTCGAATCCCACCTGCGCAAGCTTCTCAATTTTTTGTCTTAGGCTCTCAAACACTGTGTGAGTGTACATTTCTCATGAAGTCGAGTTGTTGGAGGTCAAGAACCAACTATCCCAAACTCCTGTTCTCATACTCAAGCAGACTCTTAAAGCTATCCGTATTCTTAGCATTGCAGGCACTTAATACTAGGCCTCTGTTTCAGTGAAGTTTTCGCAGCTCTGGCCTTGCAAATAATTACCGTACTGTTCTGATGTGTCTCTCCGTTCAGGCACCTGTAAACACAGTCAAGGGCATGAGATGGGGCAACTACCTCGGCTCGGCATCGGGACCTGATCCGGTGATCCGATACAAGAAGCACTTTCCGGTTCCCCTGACCACGCTGATCCCATTGCCCACGGGCGACGTCTGTGGGGTGGCGCAACACCTGTGCCTGCTCTTGATGTACAGTAAAGAGAGAGGTACGGACACATTGACTTCAGGGTACTAGACCAGTCACAGCTGTGAGCATGTACTTCCAGATGATGTGCATTCATAGGCCATGTTTGAAGTAGTTTTCACTTGTAACCACTTGCACATGATCAGGTGATCTACATGTATGTTCATAGGGAGCGGCTAATGGGTAAAAACACCGACCATTCCCTGGGCCTCATGGCAGATCCTTTATGCACCCTATTCTTCAATGTGTTTTGTACACATGCACCATTTTTTTTTAAAATCTGTAGAAACAGACAGTTTGTTGAGCCTGAACTTGGCCACGGTACAGCAGGACAGCAAACATGGGCGGGGCTTCAGAGAATTGTAGATTAGAAAGTTCCTGTAAGGCATAGCACGCACATATTGTACAAATCAGTGTCTGTGGGTGTTAAGTATTATGTGAACATTTGGCTTGCTATATCTTGCCTTGTTTGGAAGTCCTGTTTTTAGCCACTACCTTTTGGCAAGTTTTTACCTGGCCCTTGACTTGCATGCAAATAGTGGCAAGCTTTTGACAGTAATACAAGTTTAAATTATCCAATTATTTTTAAGTAAGTGGTTTCAGAAAAGCAGGTTTTCTAGTGAATCCTGTCAAATTGTTTTGAGCGGAAAAATTCTGTCTAAATAACTTAGATGGGCAACTTTAACCTGTGCAGGGGTGAGCAGCATGAATGCGGTCGACATCAAGTGGTCAGGAATCGTCAGCTGGGGCCACCCAGATGCCATCCTGAGGGTACAAATAAGGCGCAAGTCCCTCCCTTTGAACCTCCTGCATGCCACACCCACAGATAAGGTAACCCAGAGAGTGTCATGTTGTCTCCGACTGCATGCAGATGATTTTGATAAGGATCATGCAAACTGAATCATCCACTGATTACAGTGCGGCAAGTTAGGAGAGAAAATGTACCTGCTAATTTGATCATTCCCACAAAATCAAAATTAAATTCGGGTTTCTGCCGTTTTCATGCCCTGTAAACTCTTGGTGCTAAACTTTGTCTAAACTGTACATTGCTCATATACAGAGTGATCTTACTCTGGCTGGTACCAAGGCTGTTGTATCTGCTACCATATAACAGAAGCAGGGTACCACACACCCTCGCTCTGTGTTCAGAATCGACATGATTGAACCAAAGCGAGTCTGTTCATGCTAGAACACACCTTGTGGGTCGTTACTGTGTAGGTAGCGGAGCTTTTATTTTGAAATCTGTTAGATCTACAGGCTACAGGTGGAGTCTCCCTGTTTAACTTTGCAAAGGACCCATGACGGGCACCACTCAATTGCTTCGCATTTCGGTGGATACCAGCTGCAACTCTCAAGTTTGCAGTGCCCACGAAAGTTTGTCAACATGAGAACTTTGTAGACAGAAAATATCTCCATCAGTCACACACTTTCAAAGGATTTCTCGCAAAGGTCACAGATATTTTGAGTGAGGAAAATTGGAGCACAAGGGATTGTTGCCATGGAGATTCGTAGACCCTGACTTTGTTTTCATGCATTTTGGTTGTGTTCTTTTTGTGTTGCAGATCACGTGTTGCAGCTCGGTGTCTGACTGCAGACTTCTTTTCATCGGTGCAATGTCAGGCATAATCACAGCGTATCCAACCCGCTACAACCCAGACAAGGTTAGCTCATTTGCCGTTTGCCCCTTTTCCTCATCCTTGAAAAGAAACTGTTTACAGTCATATTCAGTAGAGTAACATTTTTATTCTTAAGCATTTCTGGTAATAAAACAAAGGAAATCTGAAGAAACGTGTCATTGAGAAGGAGTTACAGTTTTAGAGGTGGGAGGAAAACCCCAGAAGAATGTTCTAGGTAAAATCCGTGGAATCAGGTCGGGACTGAGAAATCAGTCCACTTGTGGACCGTGCTGGGAATTGAGCCCGGACCGCAGAGGTGAAAGAGCCCGACTGTTGGAACAGACATTGTGTTTGACCATTGCCTAGTTAACTAGTGGTCCATCATTCTGGCATCAGTAATGTTCCTGTTGAGACCTCTACAAGGGCTAGCCAACAACCCCCCCCCAAAATACACAAATCAAATCAGAATTATGAGCCAAAATCTTGTTCAAAATCACACAATCCAAACTGAGAATAGAGCCAATCTGAACTGGACCGCAAACCTTACCAGTTAAGCTTTAATCAGTATGAGAACGAGGACAGGTGGCAGAGTAGGTACCAGTGCCAAAGTGTCCACCACTTCCAAAAACGTTAATCAGAACCCTTGCCAGAACAGGAACCAAAATTGGAAGCTAATCTCAAACCAATAGCTATGTCTGTATCTGAGACCGACACTGGAGTACACATCAGAACCAACATTGATGTCAAATACAAGAACTTATACCATTAACCAGAAGTGAAAGAACTGTAAGAATTAGAAATATTAAAATACCGTTGCCGCTTTCAAAAAGTATTTCTCTTGTAAATTTTTTGCTCTGAAATCCTCTCTTTTCTTTTGCGCCATCTAGCAATGCAACATCGAGGTTGTAGGTGCGGCTGTTCAGCTCTTCGGCCACACAGCCTGCATCAACAGTCTCTGTGTCAGCCGGGCCTACAGCATCATGGTCAGTTCTAGTCAGGACGGTACCTGCATCATCTGGGACCTTAACAGGTAAACAGGCCAACGTCTCAAGGGTTTCTTTTCTTGTGTGGTTGGTGTAGGGGTAATCATTACAGGCTGATCCAGCGTGTGGAGTTGGGAACCATTTCTGTAATGGAACAATGCTCGTGTGGGTGTGCCTTTTATGTCGGTAGGATGACGTGAGTCTCCAAATGCACATGTGCCTTAAAGGGGAGCTGCAATGCAATTTTCTAATGCAAACTTCCAAACGGAACCTTTATGTCTCTGTTAACCGCATTTTCAATTTTGTTTCACTATTTTAATTGAAGGGCATTTTGCTGCCTTTATGATTTTTATGCTAATGAGATTTTCCAATTCATGAGCAAAACTGTGATGTCATCCCCAAAGTGGATCTCAATGTTGCACTGGTTTATACACACAAAAAAATGACTTTTTAAAGATTTTGCTGACCTCAATTTCTTTTCTTGGGTGGTTCATTGTTGTTTAAGTACATAGCAGTAAGCAAGCATTCAACCTCTTTCTCAGAACTGTTTTCATTGAGTTAAGTTTGGATACACAATATGAACAGAAAAACTCGTGCAGCAAAACATGTCTTACCTGGATGTCACAGCAATATGGCCCTCAGTTGTCCAGGAAAGCATGGGCAATTTTTTTCTAACGTATTTAAAATTGCAATGCTTTTTAATGCATTTGACTGAAAAGGGATGTCAAATATTTTCAAAAACTGAAGAAGAGTTGAAAAATTGGGTGTTAGAAAAATTCATTGCTGCTACACTTTAAATTAACCACTTGCGGATGACCTTATCTTTGGCCACAACTTTTGACTTCCAGAAAAGCCAAGATATAATGGACAGCTTCTGGTATACTGCCAATAGCCACAAGATACTGATTGGCAGGAGAGGAGTCATTTAAACAGAATTTTGTACTTTATCGTTCAAAACCCTGGGTTGCACCCAAAGAGTGATATCTGACACTTCAACAGGCCGCGCCAAGCGCCTAGTAAGCTCAAGTACAGCACATGGTTCACCCCCACAGACTTCTCTGACTTTTTGTGTGGGTATACAAAACAAATAGGGATTTACACAGTCATGCCTGTATATGCGTTAAGCAAGATCTCGTTGACGTGCCCTCCGGCAGGAAGTGGTTAAGAATACATGTGACATGCACTTGAGTACAGTACCACTTCAGTAATGATCTGTCCTCGGTTTAGCCTGTTGAAGTAATTTAGAGCCCAATTGAAGTGTGAAAGTACAGCTGATGGAAACTTGAAGATTTTTAATCAGTGTGCATCAGATAGACCAGACAGAGCGCTGACTGCTTGAGAACAAATTTCAGAAAGTTCAAAAATTTTGATTAAGAACAAGGATACTGTTCTTAATGATGAACAGGAACTAACTTGCTTGTGTCTTGGCTTTTGACACAGACTATGTTACATCCGAGCGCTCTGTGATGGCGATGTTTACCGTGACGCCAATGGTGTAACGGCTGTGACAGTCAGTGATGTGTCTGGTGACATTGCAATATCCACAGGAATGGGTAGGTTGAATGTGTCACTCACCAAGACTTCTTGATTATCCGGAGAGAAGTCTCCCCCAGTTATGAAGAGGTTAATGTGGTTAATTAATCAGAATTTTCTCCCCTTTTATGTAAAAGAAGACTTAGAGTAAAAAGTTGTTGCTGTATACAGTTCAGTATTTCACTCATTCAGGAAGCTTTTCAGAGTTACTTCACACTCCGGTTTCCGGTTAATTGTAAATAATTTGTTACATTCCCAGCTGATGGAGGCAGTAGTGTCAGCCTATGGACCATCAACACTAGCCTCGTTTCCAGACGACTCTGCGACAGCGAAGTCCACTGCTTAGCATTCTCCAATGCCCCTGAGGGCATTGCCGTTAACTCGCTGGTGGCCGGCTGCGAAGATGGAGTCATCAGGTTGGTAACATTCTCATTACTGGAGTGAAGAGCAGCTACCAAGCCATGCCAGAGTAGTAAGACCAGTGGTTCCAAGCAGGAGGAAACAATGAGCAGCTTAGGTGGGCCAGCAGTTGTTATCTGAACCAAGAGGGGCTGTGATGAAGCCAGCACAGGTCCGTCACAAGTCACCCAGTCCCAAAAGTCAAGTTGCAAGCCCTCCGACTACACTGAAAGAAACTCTACTCATTTTACCATTACGCAACCTGCGTTGTCACACTTGTGGCCTGACATCTTGCTTGACTCTTGAAGAACAACACCAGCCCTCTTCGTCTTATTGTGATCGAGTTAAGAAATGAAAATCCTTCAGTCTCTTGGTCGATGTATTTAAAGTTTTGTGTTACATGATTTGTCTGTTAATATCTGTTCAGGTTCTGGAGTACGATTGATCTTACACCAATCCGAGTGCTCGTTGGCAACACGCACAGCCCCATTATCAGGTGAGCATGACCATGACGTTGTCTTTCACTGGGGCCGCCATACGTGGGTTCCAGACCTTTTTTCAGTACCAGCGTTGCTAAGATTTCGATGTACAATTTCAGATTTTACAGCAATTGGCATGGTCACTGCCAGCGCAGATTTGATAAACTAAACTAAAGAGCAGCGTGTCGATATTGGGCTCAGAATCTTAAGTTCAGAACCTGAATAAGAAGTTGTTGCCTGGGGATTTTTTTTCTTCACAGAAGATTAACCTCTTGCTGCTGGGTGCTTTTAAAAATTTAGTGCCTACATAAGGACGATTTTTCAATATCTTTGATTTTCAAAAATCGTCAAAAATTCTAATTTTTTTCATGAATGTCTAAACCCCATTGGGTGACCATCTGGTGGCTACTCTAATCTGACAGACAACATCTATTGATGCCTGAGTATTTCGGCCAGGCCTGCCTCCTTGTAAAAAGAGCCCAGATTGTGTGGGCATGAGTTTCTTTTGTTCCAGAAACTGGCACAGTGCTCTCCTGTCGTCTTTTCAATATGGGCCAGATTAGCATGCAGCAGTATTGTATCGCTCATCACTGCAGCGCTGGAGCACTTTTGTCCCTGGTGGTAATGCGCTCGCATTGAATGCCACAAACAGTGGTATAATCTTTCAAAACAGTGAAGGATTTCCTCCACAACTGAAAAATGTTTGCAATTCCCAGCAGGCACAGTCTTTTGTTACAAGGCCCAGCTCTTTTGTCCGATTTCGGCCACCCCGGCTATGTGTACAAACCTAAGGTACCTCAAACCGGCAGCATGGTTAACAAGACACAAGCCCCTTCTAAGCTTTATGATGGCTCTGAGTGGGAAAATCAAGAATTGGTGGATGCAATGTTCAAGAATGTTTGTTCTGTTAATCATCAGGAGAATGTCTGATAGTGCACACTGTTTGAAATATCAAGTTCCCTGATTCTTTTCAGAACCTCACACTCGCAAAAGGGATTTCAGATGGTGCAACCACAGACTTTCCTCTTGCTACTACACCCAGGAATCATGCGTTTGTGTCATAGTCAAAGGTGCTTGTGACAACAGACAAAAGTGGTCATTTAGAGGGAATTTTCGAATTTCCCTGGGTTTAGAATTGTCAGTGTAAGTCAACCACAGTTATCACCCTTGACCCTAGGGCAGAACTCTCCCGTGGCAGTAGATCTAGATGCTGAGAACTGTTTCCCCTTTCTCCTTGTCTTTTGTAGTCTTGCCTTCACCAACGACTCCCAGTACCTGGTGGCTAGTAATCAGGACGGCCTGGTGGTGACGTGGGGCAACAAAGAGGGCAGCCGCAGGGCCCCCAAGATGGAGGCCTTCCTCGACATCGGGAAGATCCGGAATCCTGGGAACAACAAAATCAGCTCCCTTGGGAGTCCTTGAAAGAAAAGCCTCACAGGGTCGGGGCGAGGGTGTCATTGATGACAAAGCAGCTCGTTTGGGAATTGTAAGGTAATTGTGACAGGTGCGGGCAGATTGTAAATGATAGATCTAGTTTTTGGTTCTGATGACGGTTTTTATCTTGTCCCAGTACTAAGATTAATTTTCCTCCCGAGGGCAATAACTGATTGCTGTTTAGATGGCTTTTATTTTTAATAGGTTAGTCATTTTGGTTACCCACATGTAGAAGTTACTTTGGCTGAGATTTCAATTAGATTGGAGTCTCTTTCTCGTTCTTTCTTTTTGGTTTGATGTGTAGGATTACCTGTTTCTACATCAGGTTCAAGTATATCCGGATAATTTCTCAATAATTTCTGACAGAGGATTGCCCACAATTTATAATTTTCAATAAAATCACTGAAGCTGGAGATAAATACCTTCAGTTGTATTTTAGACAGCGCCCTCTTTTGGTCACATTTTCCTGGTTTCCATTTTGAGAGAAACCCATAGCCAGTGGTATTGGTGCTAATAGTTATATAGATGCTGTAATTTTGAATTGATCATGTTGATTTTGAGGCTGATTTAAGAGATTTAAGCTGTTTCAGATTCTGCCCATAGCATGCAAATGATAGGCAGAAAGCAAGTTCAGTTTGTTTCGATAAAATACAAATAATTCAGTATTTCCAGTGCCAACCTCATTTTTATTTTAAATATCAAGCCACCATTGAAGCGTCAACGTGTCAGTGATAGCGTAAGTTTTCAGAGCATATTGGAAGATGTTTAATCGCAAAGTTACATTTTAGATCAAAGTTTTGTTGTTATTATGACAATTTCCTTTGCATAGTTCAAATACCTGACAGAGGAAAACTAAATTCCAAACTGTCCAAATTATGTATCGCTATTCATCAGTAGTCTCCATGTCCCCCAATTAGGAGCAGTTTATTGGTCATCTATTTCATTATTGTTTAACGCTGATAACTTGCTCTGAAAACTGAAGTAAAAGGTACTCACATAACGTCAGTGATCGGGGATTTCTTTAGCATGTAGATAAGGTCTGGATATATTGGTAATTTTCATAGCCAAGACTTCTTTAGTCGGAGATGGTTTGACATTCCATTAAAAAATCTGAATAGCTAGAGAGAGAAAGAGAAGCTTTTGAAAGATTTGATTTTTGTGTGGACCTGGGCAAGAGGTGCTTGGACCCTTGTGATCTATTGCTTGAAAGTGAACTTAATAAACGCAAACTCTACATGCCCATGCGTAGAATACTTTGAAGGCAATCCAAGGAACAGACACTGTACACTTTGTGCATGAGCATTTATGGAGAACATGTTGAAGTAAGATGGAACAGAATGGAGAATGATTTGCCCTGAATTCAACGTATGAATTAAATGCTGATATATGTAAAAGCATTCTGGCAAATTGTCACAGCAAACAAGAATCTTATACAGTGCACAGAATATACAAATGCCAGTTGCAAAGTGAAATAACCCTTGATTGATGACATAACGATTGACTTCTGAAATGAGACCTATTGACTGATGAAATGATTACTATTGACTGATGAAATAACTATTGACCGATTTTAATCCCTTTGACTATACAGGCGTATGTACTGATGACGTTATGCTTGTTTGTATGCATGCCCCTTTTCCTGGGAAGTTTCAAATCGGTCATCCCCACTTGGCTCCCACAGAAAAGGGCACATGTAAACAAAGCAAGTACATGGGCCTATTGGGTCATATAGAAATGTACAAAGAATGTACTCAAATTTTGAGCATTCCATAGTTTTGCTCACACGTGTTCAGAAAGTATTGTGCCCTGGCATTTGAATATATAACACTGTGGCCTGGATGTATCTCCAAGCTATGTACCGGTATCATGGTGTCAAACATCGAGAGATGGTGTCTGAAATGTTTTAAGAATTGTTTTCTTTGTATTTTTGATAGTTTAACACTAGCTCTAAAAATTTGACAAGGTAAATTAACACTTAAAAAGATGTGTGAGGATGTAAATGATCATGAACTGTTTAATGAAGAAATGTAATTTTATATTAATGCAATGACAGTACTTTAAAAGTTATATTTTGTTGTGAATGAACAGATACAAAAATCAAACCTATGCAGCTTTTTGAGTCAACAAACCGAGAATGTCAAGTAGTGTGGAAGTCAAACAAGAATGAGGGTTGTCGCTGATACTTTTTATATTCTGCAATAATCTTTGTTTTTAAATTTGTGTTCCTTTGTTTTTTCATGTTTGTCGCATGTTGCAATCAAAGTGTTGGTTGACCAGAAACGATTTCTTCCAGTGAAAATCCTACAAAAGAGTTGCATTAATACATGAAATGAACTCCAATTTAGAGAGGCAAACTACACTATTGGGATTTCAGTATGCCAAGCAACCCCCCCCAATGGGTTCACAGGAAACTGTAGATGCAGTTACTGGTTAGTTGTTCCATAAGAATATTATAAACAAAGTGTAAGCAACCTGTTTTCAGTTTCGTCATAAACATTTCAAACAAGTCCCGACATAAACAATACTGAAACTGAACAAATCTACGGAAAATGAACAAATCTGAGCATCAGTTTATGGAAGAATTTGTTTTCCCGAAAGAAAAATGGCAGTGTTTTGCTGTGTAAATGCTATAACCAATGTTGAGAAAGTTTGCCCACAGTATAACCACAATGGACAATGTAAACCTAAATGTTCACGTAACATATGCCAACAGTATTATAGACTGTGTATAACTGCCATACCAACTTTGTTTATTGTATGTCTATGTATCTCTAAACCCCCTAAATTCTGCAAGACAACTATTTCGCTCATCTGTAAATTGTGAAAAGTGATGTGTGTTGTGTGGAGCAATCAAATACATGTGTGTTACTCTGAAGCTCTTTTTGGTAGGTAATTTATGTACTGAATTATTTTTATATTACACACAAATGTCATTGGTGAGTACATCAAATATGTTACAAATACTGTGCCTAATTTTTTTTTTCATAAATGATTGAGCAGAAAATAAACTACATGTACTTTGATATCATCAACTAGCAGTCCATGAGGCTAATTTTTGCAACTTGTAACGTTAAAAATGGTAACTGGCATTATGATGACACCAAGTTTCAGTTCAGTCCTTTCCGTCTCAAGAATGGGAAGACAATGGGTCTATTTTGAAGGGGGTTACCACAGAAAAATACCTTTTGTCAATTAGGCCCTTAAGACACTTGACTCAGTTTTTAATATAGCAAGTGTACAATCCTAGTCAACTACGAGAAAAATCAGAAGGGTATTTATTTTGATTCATTATTGTATTTACAACAAAAAAGAAGCAACAAGTCACTGGAAAATGTACATCGCATGATTTCTGCAACCAGGCATTTTCCAGACACTCTATTATGCCAAGGAGCTTCCACATTGCTTGAAAGCATGAGTTTGTTACTTCATTTGTGACACAAAAAAAATAATGCTTTGTGTGAATTTCACTAGGAGTAAAAAAAATTCATTTGAAATAATTCTGTTCCACTTTGACAGAACAAAAGAAACTTGAAAACCTAGTTTTACTTAAAACTAAACGATGACAATACAGCCCCTTCCCACTGGTTTTTGATTTGCGTAATTCCGACTCATTCCATTTCTTGCAGCTTCAAGCAGCTAGTTAAAATGACTTGCGCCAGCTTTCATTTGGATTCTTCCTGTTTGAAATCATTCGCTATCTTTTTTTCCAGAGCTAGAACGCTTCTGCCATGTTACATGTACATGTATCACATTTATCAGCAGCCTTGAAATATTTCAAGCTTCTTGAAAGAATTGTATCTTTAATTTCCCCATAAACTGAGAAGTTCTAATTGGTATACATGTATGCGCAATCCTTCAAACTTTTTTTTTTTTGGTCTGACCAAAGAGAAATCAGAAAGTTGCCTATTTTTGAAAATCTAGTAGGACACAGGTAATTTGTACCTAACTTTCATGTTTTCAAAAATCAATGTCTCAACTCAAGTCATGGTTTCACACAAGATATCAACGTTTATTTTATCCTCGACTACTTCTGGATGCGGCAACAATTTGATACAATAATGCCCTTTGCAGTTGCGCCAGGTATTTTCCCGGGCCCCCCCCAACTAAGTTTCTTCAACAGCATCAAAGTTCCCTTTCATCTAAGTGTTCCTTTCAACTTGTGTGAAAATTTTAAAAAAAAAAGGTCTTACCCATATTCCTAATCTAAATTTTCCACACAGGTACCCGGGTTGGTGTGGACCCTATCATAAGCGTTAAGTGAAGTGCATGGTATTCACAAAGTTACGTACATCAGGCAACTACAGATGGACTCTTTCATCATACTCCAAAGCCAACAACCATAACAAAGAAAGAACAGAGAGAAATACAATTCAAATTTCATTATGTTTTTCTCAACACAGTACAGGAAACAACTGACAAATCTCTGATATTTAAAATTTGAGTAATAGTTTGCAATACTTTGGTCAAAACCTCAAATTTCAAGCAGCTGGTAAAAAAATCTTCTCCAGTCATACGAACTTCCCACCATCTAAGTTTGCCGGTGTTAACATGTACAGAACACGATGGCTTGGACACACACAAATAGGACGCTAAGCCTCCGTCAACGAATTGCGATAAGGCCAGCCTGCAACAGTACATCCAACTTGGCGGCAATTTCTGGATTCTTTATATGCCTGTTGACAAGAAACCAAACACAAAAAAATTTAGAATAGGAACTCTGTTCATTTAATCAGTGCCAAACAGAAAGGGTTAACCCATTTGTCCCTGTACTGTTCAAAATCTGATCAAGTGCTCTGCAGTTAACAGATTTAGCAGGAAATAAATGCAATGTAATTACAGCATACTGCAAGCTCAAACTGGTAAAGATTACTGAAACTTCTGACAGCATTTTGGCAGGACAGTTTTCCTCAACTGTAGGGAGGCACTTGTTCAGGGTACAGAAATGTCAATTGGCCAACACTCCATAAACCAGTTTGTGCATATCTATCAAACATACAAAAGATGTTGAGTCGAGGGTCGATGGGTTTTAATCACACAATGGCCATCATTTTACTTATTGAATACTCTGTGTCGCTATAATTACAGGTAAAACGTCACTTTGAGAAAACATATTTTCCATTTTTTCAGAAAATCCAGTTGACACAACTCTTTTATCTCTAATCTGGAACTAGCATTGGGAGCATGAGGATTGTCATCTTTAACCACTTTGTGCCAGGGTGCTTGGTACTGGAGACACGGTGCGTGGCCCATGAGGCTGGGGTGCCTGAAATTTGTAACTTAAAAAAAAAAAAGTCACTGGGTATTTTTAGAAACAAGTTTATTTGCTGACAGTAAAAAGTTTGGGCTATCAGTGAAGGTATTTCCATCACTGATGGGCAGCAATGGGTTCACGAGACTGGAAAACTGGACCTTTATTCATGGCTGTGGTGACCAAACTTAGAAACAAAAGATGGGGCTGCTAGGACTTGCCAGTGAAGGTTTGTATGCTGCAGTCAGCAGTATTAGTGCAGAGTGCTGGCCATTAGCAGAGGTAATCTGTCATTTAAATACGGCTTTTGCCCTTACCCAACATATGTGTATATTTAAATAATCTGTCATTGTTTTGAAACAGTATCATTGTTTGCCGCTGCCAGCACCCACGGATTATCAGCGGGGACAAAAACAGGCGTTCCAGCGACTAGTGATAAAATACTGTACCGCGGCATGCTTGTGGAATCTGGCTGCATTGTGCAGCGTTAATTGTGCCGGTGTGCCCGATGAATGGCCCAGTTCACCCTTATGGATCATGTGCGCTGCATAGCAACACCAGCCTGGACTAATTCCCAGAACAGAGAGGAAATTATGCAACACCACATAATGGGGGCTCTTTATCATGCAGCATGCTTGGCTGCAATACTCACGCGTCGATGGAGGTTGCTTGTCAGATTAGAGTCGACACAGGACACTTATTCTTTTGGGTGTACGTGTCCAGCAAATAAAGATGTGAATTTTTGAAGAATTTTGAAAACGGAAAAAAACGAAAAAGCGCCCAACCCAGCAGTATGAAAATCGATAACAGCTCGGTGTGAAGTGGATAATCTACCCCGACTGCATTATCTGTGTTCCCACATATCAGTTTTTAACAAGCCGGTGCCGGGGTTCCCAGTACCGGAGACCTTGGGTTTGTACGCATAGCCAAGGTGCCCGAAATCGGACAAAGGAGCTGGGCCTTGTAACAAAAGATCGAGCTGCTGGAAGTGCCAATATTTTTCAGCAGAGTGCTGGCATTAGCAGAGGTAATCCGTCATTGTTTTGAATGCACTTGGCCAATTTCCGGAACAAGGGAAATTATGCAACACCGCACAATGTGGGCTCTCTTAACTGGGTGGCAGGCCCGGCTGCAATACTCGGGTGTCAATGGAGGTTGCCTATCAGATTAGAGTAGCGACCAGACGGTAATTTGTGTGGGTGTAAGCATCCAGTTAATGAAGTAATGAATTTTTGAAGAATTTTGGAAACAGAAAATCTTGAAAGTCCTCTGGCAACTCATCCCACATATGCAAATCCCACCTGGCAGGAAGTGGTTAAACAACTTGTACGTGGATTACCTTGCTTTTGAATAAAAATGATTTCACAGATTTCACAAAACCCCCCCAAGGTAAAAAATTCAAGGACTCCCCTTAAATCTCTGAGTAAACTCAGGTCTCGTGTCATACAAATGAGTCTTCAGTGGCTTCTTTCTGCCATTTAATGATCAACCCCCCTGAGTAGTTTACCATCTTACTGGCAGGCCGGTGATATTGCAGGCCCTTCAAGGGACCTAGAGACAAACTTTTCTTGACCATGCTTTTTGTGCCTTCCCCATGCCCAAAACACTATCTGACATCCCTTTTGGGTTAAGTGTGTTAAAACATACACTTTGGTAAACATATAGGACTGTTTGTGCTTTATTACTACCTTTTTATACTCAAATTGTGAAACAAGAATGTTCAAAAACTTTTCTGAGAAACAATTACAAATGATCAGCCATGCACTTTTCTCAATGAGTCGCCAGAGAATTGTAGGTGAGCAAAATTTCAAAATTCAAGCATTTTTGTGCACAAATCAATGTACCAATGAGGGCTTTTCCCCAGGATGACATCACAGTTTTGCTCATGACTATGAAAATAATGGATATGCTCATAAGCTTTAAAAATCAAAAAGGCACCAAAGTCGCTTTTAAATAACGAAACAAAAATCAAAAATAGGGTTAACTGAGGTACAAAGGTGATTTTCAAGGGCAAGATGAAAACAATCGCAATCCCAGAGATCCTTTCCAGCAAACTTACTCTTGGAGGGCACCGGGGTTGCTCTGCATCTGTTCCAGGATGATTCGCATGGCTGGGTCGCTCAGGACTTTCTGCACCTCAGGATTGGCCATAGCCCTCCGTTTGATCTCCTCGGGATCTTCCGTGTCGGCCTGTGACCTCATCGCCACCATGCACCTGTTGATCTGCTCCCTTGCCTCCTGTAGCCGAAGGAGAATGTCGCAAAGCACACATGAGGGCGGTGGTCATGTCAGTTTTCTGGTAGCACTGCTGACTTTTTTTTTCTAAACCACTCCATGCTAGGATATTTTTACAATTAAACTGGCCTCAGTCACCGCAGCCTAAGGCTAAGGATTGACCTTCAAAGGCTACTAGCCAAGACCTTCAATGCCCCGACTAAGGCCACGGCTTTGACCTTCATGGTCAAGGCCCTATATAAAATGAATGAGTTGTATCACCATGCATCACCCAAAGTTATAAATCAGCCGTCTTTATTCTGTTCTCTGAACAATTGCATGCTTCTCATGTACGTACATTATAACGGTGACTGCCTTTAATACAATTTCAATAAAGTGTTTTGAAATAGTCTGAAGACAGAAACCCACTTTTAAACTGAAACCCTCATTCAGTTGCACATAGGAACAGCCAAGGCCAAGGTCAACACTGAGCCTCAAGGCACAGCATCATTGCTCAGTGGAAGGATTATTTGTCTGGCTAGAAAACACCAGATATGTTGGCCAAATTTTAAACATTAAGTCAAACACAACAAATAATGGCCCTTGAAAGTCACCTGAATAATATTTCAACAATATTTCTCATTAAAGTTTGGCAACACTCCAAGGCCCCCACATCGGAGGAATATTTGTTATACAGTGACAGGCTGTGTATCACGGGCAAGTTCAACAAATGGTCTCATGGTCTACTTCTCCAGAATTAAAGGTTTAACATCGTTTCCACGGTTTGCCCTTGACTTTTTTTCTCACTTGCCAGCCAGACCAGCAGTGATGGCTTTTTTCTAGTCCAGCAGCATTTTCACTAGTCCGCATCTCCCCCCCCAATTTCAACAATCTTCTTTGGCAGTAATGTTTTCTGCTCCAACATCATGCATGACAGTGTGCACTCGATGCCGACTGTTGTTAAATTGTTGATGAGTATAAATCATAAATGGCCATGGGAAATATGAATTTCCAGAATATTCACGAGTACAACTCTATTCAAGCAAAATAACACACAGACAAAATGGTTACCTACTGAAAATGGTTTGTTTTTTCACAACCCAAGAGACAGGAAAAAAAAAATTCCACATCATTATGAATAGTTTATGTAAATGTACAGTACATGAACGCCCGGCGAAATGTACATACAAAGTACATATATGTACATGTATGTATTGTGCATGTTCGGTCTTGACTGTGTCCAGTACCTGCAGCGCGCGAACCAAACATGAAGTCACAACCGCAACATCGTTGGTGTAACAAGTACCAATGACCAATCAGAAAAACCAATATTGCATATTTATAGCACATGTAATGTGCTATAAATACCATACACATTCGGCACGTCATATGTGTGGGATGCATATTCATGAACTTACATGTACATGTACCTCTATGATGCACTGCATGAAAGCACGTGCAGATTTAGATCTTGTACGCAGAACCAACGTCAAGTCATAGCCTTGTCGAGACTGGCCATATATGGTAGTACAGTAAACAGCTCACAGTTTGCGACGGTGCCCATCTGCCCATGAGCGATGCGGAACAGAATTTTCAGATGATTTACTGCAGCTGCATTCATAGACTTCAGCATTACATCTGCTGGGCTGGAGTCAGGGACCCAACTAGTCTTGGATGCAAAAGGTCGTATTTTATTTGGTTCAGAAACCGGCAGCACCTAGAGGGCGCGCATCACAATCAACTATTTCGCCGCTTATTTCAGAATATTGTTTTACTAGACCAACAGACTACCCAGATGAGGGCTTTCACTAGACCGCAGCGGTTCTAGGGTCGAACCCTGGTTTCACCTTTTTTTATGGTTAAATGGTGATGGCTTCGCCTGTCATTTCCTATACCAGGTTCCGTTTACACTCCTATCATAATAATGTAACTGAAAATAGTGGGTTAATATGTCTTCTGGCATAAACTTGTTAACCCCTTAACGCTGGTATTCTTTTGACCGCAACTGCTGGGCTGCAGTATGGCCAGAATGCAAAGCCCTGTCCAGCAGCAGGCCCACATTGAAACCGTAGGTGCATGATGAATAGAATGGACATGTATGTGGGGTATGCATTAATCCTCACACAGAGACGCAGCTGTGGCTGTAGCCGTCTACAAGTGTTAAGGGGTTAACGCTTCTACATGTTGAATTGTCTACTTACAGCATTGGCTGGGTCGAGATCTGAAGCTTTTTGGAATGCCGTTTTGGCTTCACTGAATCTTTTCATCCCATACAAAATGTGACCTTTTCGCAGGTAGCCCTTCACTGTAACGAAAAAAGAAAAACATCGTTTCAAAATCGCGTACAAGTTAATGTTGAAGAAAGACATATAAAAATATACGGTGCTAAGGGGTCATCCATTTTTTGTCATCGTTTTCACAAGCGTACAAAGCGTACTTTTTTCCAGCCCCCCTCCCCTCTAAAAGAGTACAAAATAAAAAGATTTCTCTCTGGTGTCTGAGGACCCATTCTAACTCAGGATGTAAGGCTGTTAATGCGCAGTAGACGACCAGAGAATAGTGGCAGGAGGAAAAACAATGTCCATGACTGGCCTCGACATTCGCGCTTTTCCGATTGCCCGGGACAAATTCTTCTTTCAGTTCGGGAAAGTAATAATTAAGGACATATTGCTTGATGGACAGGTACTTTTTTCTTAAATAAAAGTGTCCATTTTTTGTGTCTAAGTAGTCAGAAAATGTACCTTTGATTTGAGTTGTTCTCCTCACAAAAGCTTATAAAAAGTGGTACAAAATATACAGTTACAATGATTGTTTGCATCGTTATGTATATGTGCATATAACTGTGCATGCAGCAGGGCACCTTTACACACAAGGGAAAATGCATACAAAAATAAACTGTAAAATACACTTGTGTCTGGGTACCAAATCTCATAGTACGCACGGCATAGCGGAGCTTTGGGGTGCTTGTACGCAGCAACGCAGCGACAGTTGAAATCCAAGGTAGGCCCTACAGCATCAACTGCAGAACAAGCGGTAACGTACCACATCCAATGCACTACATACATAAACAGAGCACTATAGCAAATGTGCACACTGCACACGGAATGCCGTACACTACAGTGTCCTGACACTTACACGAACAAGGAATGTTTCCACGTCGCTAGCGACTTGGTACCGGAGCAGCATTTATTAAAAATAGACTTGTTTTTTAGTCAACTATGGGATCTTTCAGGGTGCCTATGTGGGTAAAAATATACTGGTACATGTACACTATGTAAATCTTACTTAATGTGACACCCAAAAAGTCTACAGTTTTTCCTATGAATCAATTTTTGTGTGAACAACGCAACTATTGATACTGATTATGGAAAAATACACACAAACCCCCTACACACTGCCTTACAGACTTGTTAGTACACAGTAGATTGAGACTACAATAAACCCAGTTATGCTGCCGCCCTTTGTTCATCGTGTCATGGCGGCCTCCGCTGCTGTCACGTTTGTCATTTTTTTTCCATTTTGTACTTATATTTAAACTATTTTTATGACGGCATTTGGTTCCAGAGGACTCGTACCCCTTGTTCCACACTTTGTTCAATTTGTTTTATTTCAAACGTTTTTATGAAACTACATTTGCAACCAGTTTTAGTAGTTCCATGAGTTTCAAGAATAATGTTGCTCTGCAGTCTGCATTAATAAAAACACTTCTCTGTAACTCAGCTACTAAGACCACTCAAGGTGTACTCAACATAAAAACAAGTGGCAAGCATGCATTGTGCACTTTGCCTGGTTTATTCAGTCATCTATATGGCCATAGTGTCGAATTTTTTGGGTTAGGAATTATACTTTTTTTTGATCGACCCTACCTCAAGTCAAAAAAGATACGAGAACCACAGTATTAAAAAAGGTGCCCTTACAGAAATGCTTTGTGCAACTTCTGCAATTTCATCAAGCACAAACTCAGGGCCCCGACCAAAAAAACGCTGTTTACAAAAAACCAAAATTAACGGTTCAAGCTCGTTACATAGGTCTACCTTAAGCTGACTGGACTTACAGAATGTCGGGTCCATCTTGATGCACTGTTCGCAGTCTGTCAGGCCAAGCCCAAACTCAGCTAACTTGGTATATGCCGCTGCTCTGTTGCTGTACAGCTTGGCATCGTCCGGGTTACGCTTAATGGCCTCTGTGTAATGCGTGACGGCTGTGGCAAACTCTCCTGAGCAGGCGACACAAAAACAAAGACTTGTTCAGCAAAGACACCCTCCCCATGCTGTATCTAACTGGACCCAATTTACTCCTTGAGCATGTCTCTGTTGAAATCTGTTGGATGTGGCAGTTAAACATGTTACAGTAACGATAAACTTTGCTGGGCACCGGTTTGAATGAGCAGACAACCGATGACCGTGAACAGTTGACATGTTTTAGATTTTGTTAGATTCAGCAGGCATCAGAATTATAAGGCACAGTTGGTTTCTGTTGGATTGAGCAGGCAAATCGTTCGGCAAGTTACTATCACCTGCAACTGCAACTGTTGGGTTGAATTATAGGGCCCAGTTGGATTCTGTTGGATTGAGCAGGCAAATCATTCTGTAAGTTACTATCACCTGCAACTGCAACTGTTGGGTTGTGTTGGACTGAGCGGGAAAGTCCCAGGGAATCAGTAGGCGGTTAGGGATAACGCTCCTAAATTTGGCTCTATGGGGAATAAGGTCTGGGAGGAATATTTTTTGCCTTTTTTGGCAGGAGAGCATTGTGGGAATTTATATCCTTATTTTGTATCAAGGTTTCTTGATTCCCAAATTCTTTCTTGATTTCAAATTAAAAGATACAATTAAAAGCATGTGGTCCATAGAAGTGACCAATACTCTTCCAGTTTGGAAAAATGAAAGATCACTGCGGAATGGCATAACGCCTGCCCTTATCGAACACAAAGGTACCTACCTTTTTGGAAGCACGCATTTCCCAGTTCCTTCTCTTCCAGGGACTTCTCAGGGTCAATGTAGGCTAATTTTTCTGCCTCTTTCTTCTCTTTTAAGACCTACACACAACAGTAATACACGTGAAGAACGTCAATTTGACAAGGAAGGAGGGTGTCATTTTTGTGCTGGCAGTGGTGTGACAAGGACAAAGGACGGTTCTTCTGCTTCAAGACAGAATGCTCTTGCCAAGGCAATTGACAATGCTTGTTTCTCTCCACACAGGAGCAGAACCCGTGGGCGACATTGATTCAGGAACCCTACGGCCAAGTTAAGATGATTAACTAAACTCTAGCACCGTTGGGCTGAGCTGAATAACTTAACACCAGTTCTGATTACGCTGCAATTATGCGTGCTAAGACTAGGTCCTTCTTTGCCATGATTTTACTTGATAAGTGCAGAGGACTGCTTTGACAAACCTTGCTCAGATAAAACGAGGTGCAAAAAATTACCAGCTGAGGGGGCAATTGCATGCCATTTCCCTATAGTTTCATGCATTAGGGTGCATTACTAGCATGTGAACACAATATTAACTGTAACTCCTTCAATCTTTTTAATTTGCTAGAAAACTTCCCAAATCCATCAAAATCTACCTCTCTGCAGGGACTCAATAGCATATGTAAATTGGACTTTTCACTTTCAAGTGATATCAAGCCCAACTAATAACAGCGGATGGGTTGTACCTTTTTCGATCCTGCAATACCCTCCCAACACCTGATAGATTTCGAAAGCTCTGGGAGGGTTGAGGTTCAGTACTTGAAAGTGCAAACCTAATGTACGAGTTGCCGGCACTATGTGATAGATCCAGCAGTGACAGGTAGACAATCGCCCCAATACAAAAAAAAGTCACATTTCAAATTGAACGAACTTGTACCTCTTGTTTCTTTTTGAGTGTGTCTGGGGTTCGATGTTCGGCCAGAGATCTATCAAAGTAGGACAGCGCCTCCTGGTAATTTTGCTCCTTGGCATAAGACGTTGCAACACGACAGTAAGCTCTGCAAGACAAAGACAGGAACAAGTTATTCTCCTGAACAATAGAGTACCGAGGTGTGACGTCACTGTGAACCAGAAAGTGCAGTGCAAACGAATGGAGTACGCGCGCGTGTTGGTTCACGCGCTGGTTCTCGTGCTAATGCCTTACTCACTAATTGTGTGCGTGACATATTCCCTTCAATACTTCATACAATACCTTGATTTCGCTACAAGTGCTGGTATAGACATCAGACAAAAACTCTTCATTTATTGACCATCCACAAGTAATGCCCAGATATTTGCATGGCATCATAAATCCCTATCTCAACCATCCCCTATGACCACTGTCCCAAGTTTGACTGATTAGGAGAATCACCGAGGATCAGTACCGCCCGACTCACTTTGCGATGATTTTGTAATCTCCCCTGTTCTCTCTGCCGATGTCCACTGCTTTCAGGCAGTCCTCCCGACAGGAATCGAAGTCTCCCTTCTCGAAATGAGCGGCTACCAAAAGGAAAAGTCCACTTTGTCTCACAATGGAATAAGCTGCGAGTAATTTTCACTTGGCAAGTTTTGCTCCCATTCTTTGTAAGTAGCTGAAAATGCTTGAAAATATCGGCCACAAAAACTAACCTATGCTTGCATTAATACTTAAATCAATGCACCTTTGACAAAAAAACAGGTAGAACCTATTTGCATTCAAGGCCACAGACTAAAAGGCAAGCTTGCTGAAAAGAGATTCTTTGTACAAAGGGTGCCTCAAGGGTATGACACAAGACAGTCATAAAATAAACTGAAAAAAGGGAAACAGAGAATTCTATAGTATCTATTTGACAAACGTACACCACCATAGATAGTTAGTCCTCAAAAAACTGTGTAGGTCTAGTCAGTAAAGACAAATCTACATGTAGGTCTGCTTAACCCTACCATCCTGAGTCCTCCAAAATCATCTGCACGGCTTTAAAGGATTCTGGAGGATTAAGGCTGTATGGCCAAAGTATGACTGATACATGTATCAGATTGTGGAAGGTGCACTGTGTCAAGGTCTGGGGCTAGGCATTGTGTTGTTTGCTCAGCAGTGCATAAATTGAAATCAAGATTATGCTTCAAATCCTCCATCTGCTCCAGGATACCATTCGCATTGCCTCAACACGATGACAGGAAATGCCAGAAGATTCTGAAAGACTGAGGCAGTGGCCATCCTTCCATGGAACATATTCAAGAAATGAGGGAAGTCTTGAAGGATTGAGGGTGTATCCAATTTTTTCCGCAGAGGCAGTTAGAGGATTTTTCAGAGATGGAGGATGCATCTTTATAACCAGAAGGGCCTTGGCCATTGGGGTTAACATCTTGGTGGACAAGGTCAGTAGATATCATTTATTATGATGCACATGTAACTAACCCAGCTTCCCACTGACCTGCCCTGTTGGTGAGGAATGAAATGTTGATTGGATCCAAGTCGATGGCCTGGGTGTACAACTCAATGGCTTTATCCAGATCCTTCTTTTTGTAGGCGGCATTTCCCGCCTCCTTCAGCTCCATGGCCTAAGCACGAGTCAAGAGAGAGCAAATCCCCAACAGTAAGTTGCTGAATTAGTTATTAGCGCCCAAAACTGATTTTCAAATCTACCTTTATGCCAGAGAGAACTCTTATCTCGAACTCCTGAACAAATATCAGCAGCAAAAGATTGGAAAGCTACTGAGTACAACATTCCAACTGTAAGAAGTATAAATCTTTGTTTTTGCTGCTTCACTGAAAAAAATGACCGCAGGATGGCTGTTAGCAATTCCATCTCAAGTCTCTCACTCAGATTCAGAATGGAGGCAATAATTCTCAGCTTTCTACGACCAGTTTTGTGTCGTTGGCACCTTGTGTAGTCCATCAAAGTATCACACACGTTCCATTTGAGTAAAGTGACAATAAACCAAGTTAACATTTTAAGTTCTTGCCAACACTGATTTTAGCACTGTCTATCCTACATACGGGTATAGACACAATCTGTGTCATAATGTTCCCTATTTTATCATTCCAAATCCAAAATTGTGTCTATACCTGTATGTAGGATAGACAGTGCTAAAAATCAGGGGCCTCCCTTTTCAAGAATATTGTCCAATGATGAAACATAATTTATATTGATCAGCAAAGCCACAACAAAAAGTGAGACGGACCTTAGCTTTGTCAGGGTCTATCTCCATTGGCTCCTCCTTCGGCTGCTCCTTTGGTTTACTGGCAGACGCTGCTGCTGACTGGCTGGCCTTCTTAGCCTCCGCACCAGCCTGCCGTGCTGCTGATGGAGTGTCCTCTCCGGCCATTTGGAGATCGACACCCATCAGTACGCTCAAGGTGGTGAGCATGCGTGGATCATTTAGGCAACTGGAAAACAAAATGGTTCTGATGAAAATTTGAACTCAAGCTGGTCCGTACGTGACCACATTTTCCGCAGGAACGCCCTACCAGTTACAAGTGTCTACTGGCTAATGTGCAAACTCTGCACTGCGTCCCATTCCAAAGATTACATTACCGAGTTGCGTAACTGGGTACAGTGAAAATTAAAACCATGTCATCCCTAAGAAACGGTATTGGGAGGAGGGGAATTGCAGGGCATCTAACCTGCTCAGGGCACTGGGGTCTGTCTGCAGCCTCTTGAGTAAAGCCATGTAAGACGAATCCTTCATGAAGTCTCTGGTCCTAGGATCTGCACGTATCTTCTCGATCACTCCGGGCCCAGCAAAGGGATTGCTCAAGGGCTGGCTGCCGGCTGGTCCTGTTGGGAAGAAAGACAAATCGTGAGTGGGGACTTTTCAGACTGGTTACAAATAAATTCATTTTCATTTTGTCATTTCTGCCCCATACTTAGCAATAGAAGCGCCGCTGCTGTGGAGATCAGCAACACACTCCAATGCCAATCCCTAACCTTATGCAAATGACACCCTTCTATTCATTCCATTTTGAGCCTTTGCTGGTAAGGAATATCACATCCTCCAAAATCCTTCAGAGGATGGCAATGACACATATAAACTTGACTTGTCCAAAACTGCACCGAGGTGGCAAAAGCTAAGAGTACAGTTCCAATGTAAGAAGGAAGCTTTCACTTAAATGACATTTTTATGCCATTAAAATGAGACAGTTTCTGTGGCTTCAATGCTCAGTTCCAAATTCAGCCCACTGACAGGCCTTGCTCTGCAACAGGCATATTGCACACATTCAGATTTTGAGGCATTTTGTCCTAGTGCAAAGGTTAGAGCGAAAGCACTAAGAATGCTTCTCTGCTGACAGCATTTCATACTTTGGTCTATGGGCAGCTCACATTCTAACACCTCTCTACGAGAGGCTACATTAACGGGGATTCACATTCAACAGAGATGACTGGTTCCCACTTAAAAGTGCTTCTAGAAATTTTAAGCTTGGGACAGACCCAGCCTGTACGTCATTTGCACCTGTAAGGTTCTTCCTGCATTCTGTGAGGCCGTCTTTAAGCTGTTGGTTATTAGGATCCTGTTCAAGGCCCTCCTTGTAAGTGACCTCGGCTTCAGCGTACCGATTCAAGAAAGACAGAGCTGCTGCTTTGCGAGAGTAACCCTGCAGAAATGAAAAAAAAACTGCAATACATTAAGCAAATTCTTGAAATTGCAAGCATGAACACACATGAATTATGATTTTGCAATAAATTTCTTGAAAAGTTTTCATTTAAGTACCAACCATCAAAAGGCTCCATGCAGAAGGCTTCTTTGAGAATCTAACCCACCTCAATCTTTCCAAATCTACCAGGTTCTAAATGCCTTACATGATATCAGAAGGTGGACCAGAGTCAATTACTTGACCTGACATTACATTCGTGCGTAGAGTGGATTTTGCAGGACTTGGGCAAGTTCCAAGTAATAGGGCTTCGACCACACCTTTAGCGTAAGGGCTAAGATATGCCAGAGAGAAGGGGGTCAGGTGACGAGGAGTATCAATTAAAGGCTGCAGTATGCATAATGAGCCAGTTCAACATTTCAAAAAGGCAAGGTCACTCGAGAACAAAGCGAGTGTGTGGGTGGGTCTACTGGTGCACTGATACGACCGATCTCATGCACGTAATGAGGTATGATTACTATTCCAGAATGACCTCGGATGCACTTCAGTCTGGGCATGCCCTGTTGGAGTACCGCACTGGCTCATTTCTNCATAGGCCGTACCAAATAACTACACTCTGATCTACACTCACCTTCCCCCAGTCGGGCTTGACCTCTACCGTCTTGCAGCCATCTTTAAGTGCCTTTTCGTACTCTCCCATCTTGGCGTAGGCAGCGGACCGGTTGCTGTACAGCACATGGTTGGTTGGATCGAGCTTGATTGCCTGAGAGTAGAGGTCGACGGCCTTCTTGGAGTCCCCCGACTGGAGGGCGGCGTTCCCCTTTGCCTTTAAATCGTCGACCTGCAGCAAAAAAAGAAAACAAGGGGGTCTTCAGGTGAAAAGCCACAGAACATCACGGTAACTGGGAAAGTTCCCTCTTAGCTTTTGTGCTGTGTTTATCTGTAACCTTACTCAATCCTCCTTAACTACATGTACCACCGAGTTATTGAAAGATCTGGAAAGTTGAAGTACTGAACATTTCACTCTCCCAAGTTGACACATCAAAATCATGCGGTAAAACACTCCGGGTACTTTTCATGTGACAGTCCTGCACTCACCATTCCCAATATAACTGTAGCACTGAAGAGCTCAGTTTGCATTAATTCCAAATTGCCTACTTTCTTATCTGAACTTTTTATCAATCACTGATCTCACGGCTGCTCACTCTCATCTTTAAAATAAGGTCGTTGAGCATTACGTCACTTGACCACTCATCGTCTCGACGGCTGTTCCATGTCAAGATAACTAAACTGCTGCCAAAGTTTTGGAAGAGCCCATTGGTACATATGTCTTGCCATGGAACAGCCGTCGAGACGATGAGGGGTCAAGTGACGTAATGCTCAACGACCTTATTTTAAAGATGGCGACTGAGAGAGCGAGCCCGTTAGATTGAATGGATAAAGGCAAAAAGACTGGAAAATACCTGAACAACGTGAGTGAAATCATTCAATAAATGGTTTTTAGAAAGCGGAAAGGTCAAGAATCATGTTTGTGTGCAAAAGAAACTGCGCCCACGATAAGTGGGTGCGCCGGAATGTTTGATACGCCGACACGAAATTGCGTAGACGGATGTGTGGCTAAGGATAAATTGGGAGTGATCCGTGCCACACTAGCAGGGCTAGTGACAAGGCAGCGGCGGCGCTGCTCAGGGACAACTTTTTCACATGAAAAACTCCATTGAAATGTAATAAAAAGTAAACTCGATTATAAAGAAATTATTCCTAAGCGTATACATTACAGTTCGATACGTCTGTTTTCTGTTTTCAATGCATTTTGTAAGTGTTGACGGTGTGTTGACGTTAGTATCAATGTGTTGACGCGTATTGGGGTCACGTCAACTCGGACCCATTCCAACTCGGACCCATGCCAACTCGGATCCAGGACCAACTCGGACCCAGGACCAACTCGGACCCAAACCAACTCGGACCCATTCCAACTCGGACCCATGCCAACTCGGACCCAGGACCAACTCGGACCCACGCCAACTCGGGCCCATACTAAC